AGCAGTTGCTTGGTCTTAAAACAGACTCTTCCACCAGCCCCTGCCCTTTATTGGGGCAGGTATGAGGTGCTTTCTAAACAGAATAGACAGAAATCCAAGAGGTACCCGTTGTCCTTCGTTGAGATGGGAGTAATCTTACAGATTTCTGCCTTTAGTTTGAGGTCAATGCCCATTCCAGAAGCATAGGGAAACTTGGATTATGAAGACCTTGAGGCAAAGCTTGTCTGTCCCTTTAAGAGCCATACTATGCTAAGGAGTGGGTTTTGTGATGTAGGACTTATGTCTTCTTTCTCCTCCTCCTCTCTTCCTAGCTGCGTTTGGATGAAACTCAAGAGGCAGAATACCAAGTCCTAAGGATGCAGCTGCAGCAGGAACTCGAGCTGCTGAACGCTTATCAGAGCAAAATCAAGATCCACACTGAGGCACAGCATGAACGTGAGATCAAAGAGCTGGAGCAGCGGGTGTCCATCCGCAGGGCCCTCCTAGAGCAAAGAGTAAGTATTTCCCACGCTCCCTGGACTTGAGCTTGGGGGTCCAAAGATATTACAGCACCCACCCAGATCCATGGCCCCATCTTCAATCCCACTCAGAGGCCCCAAATGTGAATTGTTCTCCATGCAAATCTGAACTATTTATTCTCTTAGTACTAAACTAAAGATGAACGAGCTTTTTCCGGTGAGTGCTACAGTCCCTAGAAGAATCTATTGGAGACCATATATAAAAAAATGGGTGGGGCTTCAGGGAGTTTTGGGCAAGGCCTGAACCACAAAGGACTTTCTGATACCCCTTTTTGACCTCACACTGACATTCCTGGTTTCTTTTTTTGGCCTTTTGATGTCACTGTCCCCACCTGGCAGCCAAAAACAGAACGTTCTTCCTTGAGCCCTGACATCAGACTATGTCTCCAGCAAGAAGTTATCCACTGCTAATCCATAATCACGTCAAAGGCCCTGTGTGAATCAGCACTCTTAATTACTTGTAGTGTAAATAATTTCACTTTCCAGGCTGTAGTTTGAGGTGAATGATGTTCTCCTTTTTCCCCCCAAGGTTTTTATTTTTTATTGCAAATTTTTACATATTTTATAAACAAAGTGTTTTCCAGATCTTTTCTTTTACATCCTCTCATATACATAATCCATTTTACATCATATCTCTGTTTCCAATTTCAGCCATAATTATTCTCTCTCCATATTTTTTATTTTAAACTTATTTTCTTAGTACATAAACAATATCACTAATCACCCTTAATTTCTAATCTCTTACAATAACATCAACTCCATTGCTAAATATGTTTCTCAAATTCCCCATCCCACTCTTTAACATTTCGTTTTCATCTCTTAATTTAAATTATCTTCAAAGTTAAACCAAATTGCCATTTTACATTTCATCTGTTGGTCTGTTTTGCTGTAAGCAACATACATCATCAAAATCAATTTTTTACATAAAGATCATGTAACTTAATTATTCACCATTAATAATGTCGATACCATTCCCTTACATTTTAATTAACTATCCACCATTAATAATATTAATACAATTCCCTTTAATCTACTAATATGTACCTTATTTCCCTTCTTCCTCCTCTTTAACAATTTTCTCTTGGTCTCTCAAAAATTCCACTTCTTATTAATTTTCTTCTTCTATCCCATTCTCTTAGCTTCTTCTTTTTCTTTTTATAATTATTGTATCTTTTCTTCTGAATCCTTTTTCTCACTTTTAATTTTATTGTACTTTCCCCCAGGGTTTTTCCTAGTCTCTTCCCGCTATTTTCCTCTTTGCTGTTTGATTGATTGGGGGGAGGGGTATTCCCCCATCTACCCTTTTTGTGCATCTCAAATCATTCATCATACATCCAAGGCTCCATATTGCCAATTTAACAATTTTTTAAGACTTTTGGGTTATATCACATTTAATTAGAACTTAAAGTCCATACAGTCCTTTTTTTATTTCCAGATTCTGATGTCCAATTCTAATGTTAGTCCGATCCAATCCAAGTCGAAAAATTATTATCTTCCATGGCCGTAGAAAATCGAAACCAAGCAATGTAGAAAAACACACTCCTTAGTAGTTCTCACAGTTCCAAATTATCTTTTCTCCTGTGCACTGCTTGGAGAGTCCAAGCATGGGTTAAATTCTGTCACACTGCCTGAGGACTGGATTGAAACTTCTGATCACACCTCCTGGCTTCCCTTATACTCAGTTTTTCAATTCAGTCCAGCCCATCAGGACGCATTTCTCAGTGTTTCAGCTCTTTGAGAGAAAGTTTATCCTTTTTACCATTTTTATTCCTTCCAAAGGGGTTTTTTTCGTTTCGACTATATTGTTTTTTCGCCTGTTGTTTTCTTTTGTGCCTTTTTCTTTGCTCCGGAGCAGGTTGCTGGCTCCTAGCCGCCCGCACGGCTGCTCGTTGCAGTCTCATTCCGGTTCCTTCCAGCTGCGACCATTTTCTTCACTGTCGGGATTGCCCATAGTTTTGGCGACTCGTCCCGCTCCCCAGTGGTCCGGCGAGTTGCAGTTTGCCCACACGGTGTGTTCTCAGCTGGGAGCAGCCATTTTGGGCAGCCATTTTGGAAGCTTCCTGACGGTGTTTTTTTGCCGCTTGATTTCCTCTGGAGCTTGATCTGCTGGCTGGTTCTGTCCAAATTGTCGGCGGAGCCCCAGTAGTGCTTACTACGGCGTTCGGAGACCTTGGCACCAGCCACTCTCCACAAGTCAATCATTTGCCTGGAACCCTGCCTGCCTTGATCCAGCTCGTGGTTCCTCCTTTGAGTGGCAGCGCTGTGACTGCATGGCACGCGTTTGCCCAGATCTTCACATGGGTGTGGTGAGTGGGGCGAGCATCTCCCCCCCCCCCATCTTGTGCCAACACCGCCTGTTTTTTCAAGCTAGGCCGTCAGAAGATCGGGCAGCAATGGAGGAGGAGGCCATTGTGGAAGCTCCTGAGCTAAAGGGCCGACTAGTCTGCAGGACAGACCCTACAACAGAAAGGTGGCCAGGGCAGCTAGGGAAGCTATTAAGGGGATTAGGAAGCACCCTTATACCAGGTAGGTGGCTGCAGGACAGGACAGGGAGGCTATCAGATGCCAGAAGGCAATTCGACGGGGGCCCAAAGGCAGACAGTGGTGCAAGTCCATCAGGAAGATGACATTCCACCCGAACCCCCCTTGTCCACCAGCGGGGGGGATCGCCAGGAATTTTCTCTGGATAGGTCCTATGGGGGATCCAGGTCTCCCTCACCTTCCCTTGGGGAGGGTGCACACCTCTTTGATTGCAAGGTTGCTGAGGATAGGTAGTCTCTTCCCCCTCCATCCTCAGTGTCCCACAGGCCTTCTTCTTCCTCTGCTGCCACCAGGGCGGGAACCCACCCAGTGGAGGACCAAGGTCCTTTATTGGTGGAGATGCAGGAGGTGATCGCCACAGCGATCTCTCAGGGCATAGCCCAAGGGCTTCAGCAACAAGACAATAGGCCCTCCCAGGAGCATAAGGACAAGTCTAGACCATGTAGGTGTTCCTCGCCCCCTCCATCCGTTGTAAGTGTTGTTTCGGTGTTGGAGGAGGAGGACCTTGCGGAGCCAGACCTGTCTGAGGACGAAGGTGTCAACTTGTAAAGCGTTGCCATGACTATTATCAGGTTGGCATTCGAGGGAGGATTCCATGCATACCTTCGGCCAGAGTTGGATCTCATATTTCTAAAACCTAGTTCGTGAATATGATCTATGACACATGACAGAAGGGAGGAGCTAGAGGGGTAAAGTTCAAACGCAATTAAGCGGAAGCCAGTTTTGGTTCCGCAGGAGTACACACCAGAATGTTGATCCTAATAAATGAATGGATTCCTTTTGAACTTTGTCTCGAGGCTCATAAATTAATTAGGTCATCTTCTGGGAACTTCACAAGTCCCTGACAAGCCTGCCTTTGTGGGGTTGTTCAAACTCTCGTCAATTTTACATAAGGTAAAAGTGATTACCCACCTGGAGGTGTCTCCCCCGACTGACCAGGGGACCACTGATCCATCTGATCCCAGTGGGGGTTTGTTTGATGAGAATGTTCAAACTCAAGAATTGGTGCCCTCTCCTAAGCTGTTCAAGGAGGTAGTGCAGCACCAGTGGGTTCAGCCCAGTACCTGGGCAACTCTGAGGGGAACTGACAAACTGCTCTACGCTGTTGAACCTAGCATGGAAGACCTGCTTAAGCTTCCTGTTATAGACACTCCTGTAGCAGCCTTCACCTCTACGTCCATCCTTTCTCCCGAGCTGTTGGAAGGCCTTAAAGCAGAAGATAAGAGGGCGGAGAGGGCCTGCCACAAGACCCACCAGGCCGCTGCATGGGCCATAAAGGTGTCCACTTTGCCCTCCTTTTTTAGCAGGGCCTCCATTGTTACTCACCCGTTTACCTCCTGGGGATTCCAGGTTGCGGCAGGATGTTAATAAGATCATGGCCGCAGCCAAATATACATCCCTTAATGCAGCAAAGTTTGCCTCTAGGGCCTTGGCATCCAATGTCACCTCTCGCCGTCCCTTATGGCTTCGCCATTGGAATGCGAACATGTGTTCCAAGTGGAAGCTGGCCTCCGCCCCCTTTAAGGGCGGGAAGCTATTTGGGGAATCCTTGGATTCTGTTCTGATCGAGAATAAGGATAAGTGGAAGGTAGACCAGACTGTAGGTCCCCGTCCTATCGCAAACAGCCTTTTCAGGCACCAGATCCTCAAACTGATACCTCTTCCTTCCAGCGCTCCTACCCTCAGGGTCCGGGCCGTGCGCAGGACAGACAGCCATTTCATGACAGGGGTCACCAACAGTCCTTCTCTAGGCATCAGTTTCGAGGGGGATCTGCTAACAGGCCCTACCGCCGAAACAACTTTCTTTCTAGTGCCAAAGAGCTCAGGCGGGTAGAGGGCCATTTTGGACTTGAAAAAGCTCAACAAACATCTGGCCTACAAGAAGTTCAAAATGCAATCCCTCCAGTCGATCCTGGGTTGCATTCAATTAGGGAATTTCCTAACCTCCATTGACTTGAAGGAAGCATACCTTCACATCCTGATAAGACCCGCCCACAGGGGCTTCCTGCGGTTTTACTATGCGGGACACCATTATCAGTATCGGGCCCTACCATTCAGCCTGTCATCGGCCCCCAGGACCTTTACAAAGATCCTGGCCGCAGTGGCGGCTCAGCTCCGATTGTGCCTCATTTGTCTTCAATGTTACCTGGACAACTTTTTGATCCAGTTGTCGTCCCTGGCGCAAGCCACCCGCAACCTTCGGATTACAATGCGCACCCTTCAACATCACAGGTTTTCCATCCACCTCGAAAAAAGCTACTTGTCACCTTCCACAAGGATATTACATCTGGGGACAGTGATCAACACGTTGTCTTGCTAGGTTTCTCTGTCTCAGGAACGAGTATGCGGCCTTCAGTCTCTCATCCAGCAAATTCAACAGTCTCCCTCCATCCCAGTGCTCCTGTTGTCACAATTACTGGGAAAGATGATTTTGTGCCTTTTGATTGTTTCCTGGGTGAGGTTACACGCGAGGGAGCTACAATGGTACCTCCTTCCATCTCAACTCCATGATCAAGGTACGTCTGCCGGCAAAGGTCCTTCGCTCCCTCCAGTGGTGGCAATCTCCGGCTGTGACGAATGGTTCTCTGTTCAGGGAGCCCGACCACATGATCATCATGTCAGACATCAGTCTCCGGATGGGGAGCAACCAGGGCGTGCAGGCAGGTGGTCCGCCCACAAGTTGTCTCACAACATCAACTGGTTGGAGGTGAGGGCAGTCCACCTTGCTCTGCGCAGATTCCAGGCGGAGGTCCAGGGTCACCATGTGCTCGTTCTGACGGACAACGTGGCAATGAAGGCACATATCAATCACCAAGGGGGCACCAGATCCAGCTCACTCATGAGAGAGGCAGAGGCACTTGGAAGGTGGGCAGAATGACATGTGGCATCAATACGGGCGGAGCACATCTCCGACGTGAACAACATTCAAGCAGATTAGCTGACCAGGACTACCCTGGATCAGTCAGAGTGGCGCCTCCATCCGCACCTGGTTCATCAGCTGTCGCTCAGGTTCGGCCATCACATAGTCGACCTCTTTGCCACTCCGGAGAATTCACAACTTCCTCATTTCTTCACCAGGTATCACTCTCCTCAGGCGGAAGGTATGAACATTCTCAACTGTCCCTGGCCTCCGGGTCTCCTTTACGCCTTCCCTCCACTGCTGCTCACTTTCTGAGTGATCAGAAAGAGTCTAGTGGAGCAAGCGGAGGTGCTTTTGGTGGCACCTCATTGACCAAGACGAACCTGGTTCGCCAACCTGACTAGCCTCTCCATTTCCCACCCCTGGAGAATCCTGCAGGAGTCAGTCTCTCTCAGCCAGGGGGTCTTCTTGCATCTGGAGCCTCAGTAGCTCCAGTTGACCATCTGGCATTTGAGAGGGACCTCCTGAAAAGGGGCAACTTCTCCAGCCAGGTCATCCGCACAATTCAGGCGGCCAGACGGCCTTCCAGCACCAGCATCTATGCCGCCACATGGTCTGCCTTTGCCTGTTGGTGCGCCAAACGTCAGCTGGACCCTCTTGTGGCATCAATTCCACGGATTTTGGACTTCCTCCAAGAGGGGTTTGATAAGGGACTTGCTCCAAATACCTTGCGTCGCCAGGTCGCGGCTCTGTCCAGCATTGTGTCGACAGATTCCCAGCAGCCGCTTAGCCACCATTTAAGGGTACATAGCTTCCTGAGAGGGCCCTCAAACCTGTGCCTCCAAATGGTTCATTGTTAGCCCACCTGGGAGCTCTCCATTGTGCTCAGAGCTCTCTCCAAGTCCCCGTTTGAACCTCTCCGTACCTTGTCCCTCCGGCACTTGTCTCTTAAAACTGCATTCCTTATCGCCATTACAATGGCTCGGAGGATATCGGAGTTGGTGGCCCTGTCGGTCAGGGAGGATTTGTGCTGAGTCCACTGCAACAGGAGTTGTCTTTCGTCTGGACCCTTCGTTTATCCCTAAAGTCAACTCGTACTTTCATCGGGCCCAGGAAGTGGTCCTTCCAGATTTTTGCCCTAGGCCCAGTCACCCTAGGGAATGTCGTTGGCACACCCTCGATGTGCGAAGGGTGCTAAGGAGATATGTCAAGCGGCCGGCCTCCTTCCGTCGTTCGGAGGCAATCTTTGTGTCTTTTCAGCCTGCATCCATGGGCCACAAAGTTTCCTCATCCACCGTAGGACACTCGCTCAAGGCATGCATTTCTTTAGCTTATGAGCAGCAGGGCAGGCTGGCTCCTCCTCAGCTTACCGCGCACTCGACCAGAAGCGCGGCCACCACAGCAGCTTGGGCTACCCAAGCCTCCGTTGAAGACATCTCGAAGGCCGCAACTTGGGTGCCACCCTCTCTCTTTTTCAGACATTATAAATTGGGCAAGTACGCTTCTGCGGATGCTTCCTTTGGTAGATGTGTCTTGCAGAGCATCCATTGTAGCACAGACTGATATCAGGGTTGAGGGTTTGTTCCTTACCCGCCCTAGTGACATTTAGCTTGGGTATGTCCCATGCTTGGACTTTCCCGCAGTGCACAGAGAACGACCCTTCATGGTCATTCCGGTAGTCAAGGTCAGGTTTCACAGCTGCCCCTGCTGTCAGTCCGAAGAGCTTTCTCTGACCTATTGAGGAAGTTGCCGGTTCCTCTTGGTTGTCCGAGACACCTCTCCTTCTTCCCTGTCTCTACAGGACGGTTCCAGTCCAAAAGACACACACACACACCGACAGCAGTTTGTCCGGCTGGATTTACACAGAGCTCATCGGAGCCCTTTATTTTTTCAACCGGTCTCAACACGAGTTTCTCTTGAATGATGTTCTCCTTGAACTACATTCTGGAACAGAAAAATCACAGTGGTTGAATGGTGTTCACATTGATTGTAGTGTACAGGAAATTCCTTTTGAAAAGGTGTGGTCTGGATCAGTTTTCTCTAAAGTATGTGCAAAAATAAATCAAGAATGAAAACCACTTTTTTTCTGGAAGTCCACAATCTCTCTTTATTGTTCTTTGCTTTTTAAGGTGTTGGCTATTCATGGTCATTTGGAGTTGGGCAGCTTCTAAATTTAATAAACGAAGTAGAAAACATTCTGTTTATTCAGGAGAAATACTGCATAGGATGGTAGCTCCAGCCCTTCTGCATAGGATGGTAGCTCCAGGTTTCTGGCAGTGGCCAACTATCAGGGTGTTGAAAACTAATATAGGGGGGAAACTGGTTTTATGAAGTTTACTCCTGTTGGGTGTGAGGATGGTTTCTTCAGTGGGAATTCACGAAGAAGGTTTAACAACATTCTGATGGCATCATATTAGTAATGCTTTGTTAATTGGCTTCCTGGAGGGATCTGATTGGTTACTTGAGAAAGACTACTGGATTCTCCTGGATTTTTAATCTGACTCAGCAGATCTGTTATGCTTTGAGCCATAAAGTGCCTCTTCTTGCCTGTGAAGTCACTCGATAACATTAGTCCTTCTTCCTCTTTGTTTTCCATGGAAAGTAGAGAGGGAATAACAATAGTATACAGGTAGTCCTCAATTTACGACCACAATTGAGCCCAATCAAGACCAAAATTTCCATTGCTAAGCAAGGCAGTTATTAAAAATGTCACATGTGATTTTTATAACTTTTTTTTGCCAGGGTTCTAAAACAAATCATTGCAGTTGTTAAGTATATCACACAGTTGTTAAGAGAATCAAACTCCCCCCCACCCCCAATTGACTTTGCTTGTTAGAAGCCAGCTGGGAAGGTTGCAAATGGTGATCATGTGATTTTGAGATGCTGCAAACATCGTAAATACATTCTGGTTGTTAAGGAGCCATTTTTTTAAAAAAATATGTTTATTTATAAACATTTTTGAATACGGTGTATGAATACAGGGTATGTCAGTTACACAGACAAAGACCAGAATTTTTAAAAATCATGGTAAATATTAATACATGAACTCATAACAGTAACTATAATATAATAACACTTGTATTAAATATAATTGTAATAGTATAACCAAATAGTTTAAACTGAATTTTCTTATATCTTGGCTTGTTTACATTTTATAGATTATCATACTTATAGTTGAAAACCATTTTAATATACACATTCATAGTTTTTTTTCATCTAATTCCTACCCATTGTCTCTACCCACTCATAAAAACTGTTCCATATCAGGTCATATTCTGAGTCTTCTTTATCCTTAATTTTAAAAGTTAACCTATCCATTTCAGCACATTCTAAAATTTTCTGAATTACTTCCTCATCTGGCAGAGTGTTTTCATTTTTCCAGTATTTGGCAAATATAATCGTCAACTCTCAGTGTTGTCATGGGGACAGAATGAGTTTAAGTTTAAGTTTTATTTTATTTATATGCCGCCCTATTCCCTAAAAGGGACTCAGGG